AACTCATGTATCCTCCCATTTCCGGACATTAGTGACGCAGCAAACTAATCAAACTCGCTCGAAGAACAGTTGCAGGATCATGCCATCTACTTCATCGGAGTCAAAGCCGTTGCTTTCCACATCAGGCTTTTGGGCTCGTTCAGCCTTCAACAGTACCGTTGAAATGTCAAGCCGGACATAAGGCGTGCAGTCTGTGAAGTCCGTGACTGACTGGAAACTCTGGTGGCGTCGATGAATCTGCATCTCGACTGCACTCGTCTCTGTCATCCAACCAGTGAGCATCGTTTGCGATAATGCTTTGCCAGTAGATCAGCTCAGTCCCATGATGTCAAGCAGCTCTCTTGCATGCGGTATGCGCTTCTGGGTCAAAGGTATCGTGTCTGCGGTCTAGTGGCTTTAAACCAAAAGCCCCCCAAACCTGACACCCTGATCCCTAATGCACCTACAACCCTGAATCCCCGGAGCTGAAGAGATTGAGTCGAAGATCTGCTGGATGCACTGGAGGCTTGAAGTCTCTGAGTCAGCTTGAAACTCTAAAGGAATCACCCAGTGCTCCTGCAGCTTCGACTGCTGCGAGGCTTTGCTTTCGAGCCTCGGGGCGTATCTGGGCTTCCGGGCTGGGGTCTACCGGGAACAAACAAAGAGATGTATGCATGCAAAGCTTCATCTATAAAAATGGATCTGCCTATGTGCTTGTCCATGTACCGACCTATATACACATGTGCATATCTACACTTTCGCGGTACATGTGTATATATATATATATACATATCTCAGTACATCATGCCAAGTCTTGCATCCAAGTATACAACATGAACAACGGAAACAGTGACAAAAGCCACCGGTGCATCAACACCATCTCTACCATCGTCGTCATCATCGTCACCACCACCAACATCGCTAAAATCACCTATGCCGTCGCAAACTTTTCCGCCTCATCATCCGGGCTGGTATTTGTACATAGGGAGTGACAAGTGGCAACACATCGCAGGCTCATATGAACAGCACATGCTCCAGGCACAGCCTTTTCTTTATGCGGTACAAAATACCTTCTTACATTGAAGAACGATCATCGTCAGCATCAGCAGCATCAACACCATCGTCAAACTCACCAACAACATGTTTACCAAGCTTGAAGTTATGGTCACGGCAAAGTACTGCAAATCTAGTTCTTCCCGCCGCACATAGCGTCAAACACTCTCGCTGTGGGAATGCAGTGTCGGCCGCTGTTGATGCCAAGGACACACCCCAAACTCGAAGCCCCACAGCGGACATGTGCACCAAGAAGTTCAGAACAATCAGACCCAGGATGTGGGATTTCAGAGTTCAGGTCCCAAACTCCGAAGCTCCTGAAGAGGATCATCCGTTCCGGGCCTGCGCGTGCTCGCCGTTTGGCCCTTGCTGCCCAGGCCTCCGTCGTTCAAAGAATTACTTCTCTTCGCCCTTCCAGGCCTTGCTCTTGGCCTTTACCCTGGAGGACTTCAGGGCGTTTGAGTGTTCAAGCCTTCGGATTTTGGAATCATGGTTTAGGGTGCCAAGCCCGCTCCCCCCCTTGTCCATTGGGTTCATGCTGCCCGGGGAACCTTTGTGAGGCCCGTCCAGACAAGTTAAGAAGTTGACAGGTCGAAGATGCGCCGTCGGGGATCCCCAGTCTCAGCAAGGTCAACCCCACGGCAAGCTCCGCTCCTCTGCCCCACTCCCGCAGGCCCGAAAACCTCAAGCTTTCACCCGTAGAAAGGTAAGAAGCAAAACTACGAAGCGGCCCCCCTCGCAGAGACAAAGGCTCGCATGAAAGCAGGGCGCTTTCAGTTCTGGGTTGTTTTGTTGGAGCGACAGGCATATATCATCGTATGAGTTTATGGAACACGTCACGTTGGAAGACTATAGCGTGCCTTGCGCAGGTCACCGCCACGCAGGTGCAAATGCGGCCGCATCTCATGGAATGTCATCTCTTTTTCTACCGGAGCAAACATGGACACCAAAACCCTCAATGCAAAGCCCTAAAGCCCTCAAGCCAAACTTTTCGGGAAAATTCTCGGACTCAACACTTTCAACCCCTAAAGTTTACCTAAAGCCAGAAGTCCCTAACCCTGACACCCAAAACCCTAAACCTACACTGAGCCATCAGCCCTGCCGCAAACTGGCTCACTCCCTGAACGCAGACCTCAACCCTCCTGAGCAGATCTCGAGAGAAGCATTACAGGCCTACACCTTTGCCAGGAGAGTTTCCTCGACGGATCTCCTGCGAGCAAGTAGAGAAAGCTCGGCTCTGCTACCGTTTATAGGGGTAGAACCCAGAGCCTAGAATAAATGAAGTGATGGCGGTGCTGGTGGTGGTGCAAGCAGCGCAGCCCGAGTGGAACTGAAGGTCTGGTGTCGTAAAGTTTGCGTTTCAAGGCATTTCAAGGCCGCTTGTTCTGATGTCGCTTCAATGCTTCATTGCGGTGGTGAAAGTCTGCAGCCCGGTCCCTTCGCTCCTTCTTGCTATGATGACGGTGACTGTTATTCTTTCATCCCAGAAACTCCAAAGTTCATTCCGCAGGTCAAGGGCAACTTCCTCGCGGTCGACGGCCACTTCTCCGTCATCTGCGACTCCATGAGCGCAGTGGCCTCAGGGCGAGAGTCGTTCCCAAGGACTGCAGCCTTTGGCTTCAGACTTCGGAGCGTTGAGGCTTACGGCTATGGAGCCCGGCGCGACCTGTCTCTGGCAACCCTGCCATGAAGAGCAAAGCCTTTTTCCCAAGCACCCGGCAGGTGAGGAACGGCCCAAAAGAGAAGGTTTGCGCATTGGCCTTTGCTCTCATGTGAAGGAAGCCCAAGCCCCAAGCCCTGAACCCGCAACCTTAGCCAAACCACTCGCCCATCCCTGACGAGGTACAACAAGAACCGCCGTTAACAGCAGTACTGGATACCGATCAGAGGCAACAAACAGTAGGAACCATAAGCATCAAAAATGACAGCCATGACAAGCGAATCACTCTGAGAAAGACAGTAACAAAGACGAATTGAGAATTTGCTATGCTGTTAACGCTACAGCGATACGACGTGTAGCCATGGCGGGGTTTCAATAACAGTTGCGAGTTGTAAGCAGAGCGAGCCAGGAAATTGAGTCTCCAGCTTTAGAAACGGAAACTTATGAAGATTGCTGTGTAGTTCCATGTACACGGAGTCATGACAGTAATGAAGGCTAGTCAACGCGTACTATAGACAAGAGGAGGCAAAGTCAGTCATGGTGCTAGGGTGCTTAGAACCTTGTCTTACAAGCATAGCGCCTCCAATATGGATTTAGAAAATGATAACCATCAGCAGCATTGCAGCATCATCAACACCATCACCACACGAATGTTACTCTCTCCATCGTCAACATAATTTTCATACCCCATAGTAGCTTAAAGAACCAGCAGGAATACTCCACAGCCTAGGCAGAACCTACACACAACGGCAGCGATTGCAGGTTCACAAAGCAAAACTAGGGAAGGACGCACGGGCCTGGAATTGTCCTTGTTGGCCCACTTGACCATGGAAGCAAAAGCAAGCCCATAAGCCAAAAAAAGACCGCAATAAAGAGAATAGGGTTGCGCGTGAAAAAAACCCTAAGGTTGTGCATGTGTGACTATTCAGGCTTGAAAATTCACCAAGCTTGGGCGAAGGCTGGAGGTCGCCAGCCTGCAAAGCAAAGCAGCCACGGCTTGGAAAGGAGAGCTTTGGTGTTCAGGGTTCCACGGAGTTTAGGGATTGAAGCTCTGGGGTTTATGGGTTTGGGGTCGATTTCAGGGTTTAGGTTGCCTAGTACCCAATCGAATCCATTGATTCTATCGCTATCTCTCACTCTCCCTGTCTCTTGTCTTTAACAAAAGTCAAAGAAGCATAGACACTCATCTGTCTGGGCTTTCTCTGTTGAGTAACGTAGCCCAGAGGCAGGGGCGGGAGGAGGGGGGAGGGGGAGGAGGGGCATGCCGGTGGGTTTTGAAACTCGTGCCTCGCTGGGGCCGAAAGAAACGAGTCTTTCCCTCTACAAACATACACACACACACACAGGGCCAGCATCAAACTATTCCTAAAATCCTGAACCCAAGCATCCGAAAGAATAGTAGTTCAAAAACCAACCTCGATACATGCAACAAAAGCATGCATATGTCAGCAGACATGAATATATACATCAACACAAACATGCACACATATCTACATATATATGTATGTATCTATATATATATATATATGTAGATATGTCCGTATGTATGCGCATATGCAAACAGATACATACGTATGTATATAAACCCTAAACCCTAAATCCGTATAGTATGGTGTCGTATAGCATATACTATATGTACATACAGTTACATAGTCTTAGTATTCCGGCGTCCTCGCCGGCCGCCGGAAGACATTGCGGGGCCCCAAAGCTCCAAACGCTGCTTGGTTGCCCACTGTCTCCAGTCTTAAGGCGTCGGGGGTAGGCTTTGTGGGTCTAGTGTTTGAGCTATCTAGCGACGACTACGGTTTATGTCTTTACTTTTAAAAGGATGTTTTGCGGGGTAGCCTAGTTTGGCGCTGGCAGATTTCGCAGGCTGTTGTCGGGTGTTGCCTGTTCCGCAGCTTGTTGAGAGGCATGGAGGGGTTTTAACCTGATTGGGAGGCTGTTCCCACTTAATCTGGGCACCCTTCATACATCTATGTGTATTCGCAGAACAGCCAATCTTGTGAGACATATCGGGTGGTCTTGGGCACAGGATGAGGCATTTCCGAAGTGGGCATGATGTGCATGCCAGGCTTGAGCTGAATGCTGCAAAGAGAAGCCCATGGGAGAAGTGGAAAAGACAGCTGCAAGCACAGCTAGCTCAGGTCTGCTTAAGTCCACGTACACGTGGCACAAGTCAGGCTAAGGAACTTGAGGCAGAGTCAGAGTTCTAGGTGTAGTACCTGATGGCTGCACTGCATAAGGACGCCCTTCACAATTGACCCTGAGACTTGGGACCACCGTTCCCCACGGACGTGCAGCTTTCTCACGCCAGCGGGGCATCTTTGGGTCCGTCTGCTGCCTGGAGAAAGCAAGGTAGGACAGGCAGCGCCACATCCTGACCCCAAAACACTTAAACCTTAAACACTCATTGCTAAGCTCTGAAGCACTGAACCCTGCTGAAGGGCTCGAAGTCTTCGAAGGTTTGTACCGACGAAGCCTCCGTGCCTGTACAAAGCCCCAACAGTAGCAAAGCTCAAAAGAATAATGTACCAAAATTGGTAGCCATACAAGGAACAAAACTGAGATCCCACATCCTCATCACCATCATCACCGCTCTCAGTGTAAGTGCAATGTAAGATTACGGTTTCGAACAACCCGGAAATATGATAACGTCAGAAAGAACAAACGACAGGAATGGTGGTTGTCATGGTAGTGATGCTGGTGGTGTTGCTGACGACGACGATGGTGAAAACGAGGGTGATGCTAGTCATGCTGATGATGAGGAGGAGGGCGATGAAGAAGAAAAGCGTGATGAAGATAATGGCAGGAGCCCTGATGACGATGATAAAGACAATGCAGACATCCTGACAGTGACGATGACCATAGGAGCGTAGTAACCGTTGACCAGGTAGTGGGTAGGGGGCGAAATGGTAAACCCTAGATTCTAATTCCCTGAATTCATGAAGTGGAAACACTTATCAACGCAAGAGCCCTGGTGTGTGGGCCTCCTCCTTTTCTGCAGCGGGGGCTGCAGCAGAGGACGCCTTCTGAAATTTCTTGAAACGGAAAGGCTTGAGCTCAAAGGTTGGAGGACTTGGTTAGGGCGCGGGCGGGTGATTCACTCTCATTGGTGCTACTGCCACTGCTGCTGCTGCCACTGCTGCCGCTGCTGCTGCTGCTACGACTACCTAAGACTACCTACGGCTACCTACGACTACCTACGACTACTACTAC